TTGTTTGAGTCTGTTCCTTTCTGAGTAACTGCATGGAAACCTTCTCTCCTCTTCACTCAAAAAAATAAAAAATTACATCACAATAAAACTAATTATTTGTTTCTAAGACATAAAATGTCATCCATTTATATTACCTCATAATTAGCGCATGCTTTCTTGATTCCTTGTAAAGGCTGCTTGTGTCATTTTCATTCATCTCCAGCTGTGTTACAGATTACGTAACATCTGGATGTTGTGTCATTAAGCTCAACAGTCAGTAGGTAAGTTAATAAATAAAAACAACCCTTTTGAAGTTTCTTTTATCGATTCAACAAAACGAATCACGCGGCAGTAAAGCAAACAAATGCTTTAAAAGAGATTTAATTTCTAGGCAAGTTTGAGCAATTGAAAGAATATCAGTTGATTTAGGGAAGAAAAAAAGCTTTAAATTATATTTTTAAAATCTCCTAAATCCTTGAGTTAAGTCATGTTTGAAATAATTTGATCAAAATGTTGATATGATGTGTTTGTTAGATGTTGTAGATGGTGGTTAGATGCATGTCTAATCTGAGGCAGGAGGAGTTGCAACATACTGCAAGAATTTAAATATATATAGTTTTTTTTTATTGTAAACACTGTAAAATAAACAGATGCGTCACTCAGGTGGATATTTTCCACCCTGAAGCTGCACGTTGTGTTCTCTCTGTCCCTGACGTGCAGGACGCGCCCCTGCAGGAGCCAACAGGCTGGGCTGTGTTGGTTGAAGCCGGGCCCCTCCCGCCTCAGAGACCCCGTGATTCAGCGTTTAGGGTGGAATGGTTGTGATTAGTGATGTAAAGGGGGTGTAAGGACACAGCCTCCAGCCTTCACCAATGAAAACCTGAATCTGGGCATGGCTCAGCACCCATATTCAGACATCTTCCTATAAAATACCTCTATAAGTACATCCTCCGGTCTCATTTGAACATTTTGTTTATCTGTGATCAACCTGCACTGAATTCTTTTTGGAGACACTGAGTTGAAGCTTTCATAAGGTAAGATTTTGTCCTTACATTGCATTATTTTAAGTAATTATCTTAATGAAAATGAATTAGTTAAACAATATGGAGCTGCATGATGATTAAATAACAGTTACAGATTTTATCTTACTGTATTTGGTCATGCACATCTATGGTTATGTTAAGAAGCTGTGAGTCAGCTTAATAAGTTTTTTTGCACTTTTGTTTTGTCATTTTGATTGTCTTTTCTTTTTTTTTAACCTTGGTCATATGTTTTATATAGGTTGTAAAAAGATTCATGTGTTTTGTGCCAATTCTAAAAAAAGTCAGTTTGGAATTAATTAATTTTTTTATTTTTTTATCATTGCGCTAACAAAACAGAAAATTAAAAACCAGAAATACAAAACCTTAAATAGGCCGTCTAATAAAGTTGTCAGGTCCTCTGGACGGAATCGTCATTGTTGAAAACGTTTCATCTTTTATCCAAAAAGTTATTCAGTCTGAAACTTAAGAAACTTAGCCTTAAAAATAGTCCACTATGACTAGGTGCTATTTATAAGGCTGAGTTTCTTGCAGGATCTCAGACTGAAGAAGTTTTTGGATAAAAGACGAAATGTTTCAACAAAGAATAATTAATTTGGAGTACCTGACTTAACTTTGTTAGATTTTTCTGCCTGGATTATTGAGCATGAGTCAGGGTTTTAAGGGATTTAATTATATATTTTTTTGCATCTTTATTTGTTTTTTTTGTGTGTGTGTAAACAGCTTTTTTAACTGCATTTTTTTTCTTTAAATATGCCAAAATCCACAGTTTTAACAGTTAAAACCAACACAATCTTCCTTAAAGTAAAATGCCATGACCCAACTGATCCTCTCCATGTTACATTTAATAGTTTATTTCTTGATTAGTGCTGATAAAAAAAGTAATTATATATATATATTTTTTTCACAATATGTGGAAGGTTTGCACCCAAAATGCAGATTGGACACAAGGAGCTAAAAAAAAAAAAAAAACCCTGACTTGTTTTAGTATCCGTCCATCCATTACCTTCTGTTTGTGCCGAAGTCAGATCAGCTTGAGCAGGGAGGTCCAGACATCTCTTCCACATCCACCTCTTCCAGCTTTTCTGGGAGGACTCCAAGGCATTCCCAGGTCAACCGAAAGACATAGTCTCTCCAGTGTGTCCTGGGTCTTCCACGGGTCTTCTTCAGGGTCTCCCTCTCGGACATGCCCAAAGCACCTCCCTAGGGAGGCACCCAGGGAGCATCTTTACCAGATGCCTGAACCACCTCAGCTGGCTCTTCTAGATGTGGAGGAACAGCAGTTCTACTCTGAGTCTCTCCTGGATGACTGAACTTCTCACCCTGTCTCTATGGGAGAGTCCAGCTACCCTGCAGAGGAAACTCATTTCAACCGCCTGCATCCGTGATCTCATTCTTGCAGTCACTACCCAGAGTTTGTGAACATAGGTGAGGGTAGGAACAAAGACCAAGAAAAAAGAGCTTTATTTTGCAGCTCAGCTCCCTCTTCACCACAACAGACCAGCACAGAATCTGCAATACTGCAGATGCTGCACCAATCCATCTGTCAATCTCACATTCCATTCTTCCTTCACTCATGAACAAAACCCCAAGATACTTGAACTCCTCGACTTGAGGCAGAACCTCACCCTCGACCTGAAGAGAGCAATCCACACTTTTCTGACTGAGGACCATGGCCTCAGATTTGGATGTGCTGATTCTCATCCCAGCCACTTCACACTCAGCCGCACACTGCTTCAGTGAGAACTGAAGATCACGGCGCAATGGCACCAACAGTATCACATCATCCACAAATAGCAGAGATGGAATCCTGAGGCCACCGAACCAGAATCCCTCCGCCCCTGACTGCTACAAGAAATTCTGCCCATGAAAGTAATGAACAGAATCAGTGACAATGGGCAGCCCTGGCAAAGTCCAACTCCCACCCTGAAGGGGTCTGACTTACTGGCGGCAATGTGAACCAAACTCTTGCGCTGCTTGTATAGGGACTGAACAGCCCATTGCAATGGGCCCCCAATCCCATACTCACGGAACACCTCCCACAGCGTACCCCAAGGAACATGGTCAAATGCCTTTTACAATTTGACAAAACACCTGTAGACTGGATGGGCAAACTCCCATGACCCCCCAAGGACCCTAGTGAGGGTAAAGAGCTGGTCCAGTGTTCCACAACAAAGAGGGAACCCGCATTTTTCCTCGTGGACCTGAGGTTCGACCGTTAATCGGACCTGCTTACCCAGTACACATGAACAGACCTTACCAGGGAGGCTAAGGTGAGTGATGTCCCTATAATTGGAGCACACCTTCCAATTCCCTTTATCAAGAGGAGAACCACCACCACAGTCTGCCAGTCCAGTGGCACTGCCCCTAATGTCCACGCAATTTTGCAAAGGCATGTCAACCAAGACAGCCCCACAACATCCAGAGCCTTAAGGAAATCAGGGCGGATTTTGTCCACACCCGGAGCCCTGCCACCACTGAGCTTTTTTATCTACCTCCTCAACCTCAACCACGGTTATGGACAGACCAACCCCGAAGCCCCCCGACTAAGCTTCCTCCATGGAAGACGTGCAGGTGGGATTGAGAAGGTCCGAGATGTATTCCTTCCACCTCCGGATGACATCACTGGTTGAAGGTCAACAGCACCCTACCTTCACTGAACACAGTGTTAGTAAAGCGGGCCCTTCCCCAGAGTGTCCACCATCAAGTTCAAGGATGGCCACTGTGAGAAGTGCCAACAACCTTGCGGCCACTGCTCAAGGCAGATACTGTACCTCAATAATTGTAATGTGAATCATGGCCCACTCAGACTCAATGTCCCCCACCTCAGCTGGGATGAAGTTAAAGTTCTCCCGAACTTGTTTTATTAACAAAAATAAAACAAAAGTCTGTCAAGGTAACAAAATTTACACCCAGTTTAAGAAAGGCACAATGCATGATGTTTGACTGATTTTTGTACTGAACATAAAGTAGTAAATATGGTGGATGATCCTGAGGAGGAGATGAGAAATAGCTGAGCTGAGTGAGACAGGACACAGAAGTGAGTGGACATAGAAGGACAGGGGAGCAGGAAACTGATTGAGGCAACAACAAAAAAAGAAACAGAAAAGCTGATGAAATTAAAAAACTAATTAACTGAAAACGAATCGCAAAATATACATAACCCTTAAATATGAAACACAAAAGACTAGAAATAAACCAACAAAAACATGGATCCTGATGTATTTTATTGAGTGCATCTCTGTACAAAGAGTCATGTGAAGCAAAAAGAAGCTATACGTGATTATTAGCATAAACAAGGTTACACATGCTGTAAATGTGTTGTTACTGATGCTCGTTTCCTCCACTATCAGATCCAAGATGGACAACAAAGCCTATTTGGTTCAGGTGAACGGTAATGGAGTTCACGGCAAAACTGTGGTCCAACCAAAACCCCTGAATGGGACAGGGGTCACTGGGAAGGGGATGCACCACGTCAATGTCAACGGCAGCTTGTATCCGGCCAAGACCAAGAGCCGCAGGCAGAGGTGGGAGGTGAAGGCTTCGGAGATGGCCAACAACACGCTCAACCCCATCAGGGCCATCGTGGACGGGATGAAACTCAGCCCAAATCCTGACAAACCCATGATCGCACTTTCCATAGGTGGGGGGCTTTTTAATGTACTTTGCTCTCCTGCATCTATTGTTGGTTTAAAGCTTTCTATAGTTCTGCCTTGGTTCACAAAACAAAACAAAAAAACTAAAGTTTGGACACATTTGCTCAGTAGTTTTGAATGAACAAGTATCTAAACATTTGATGTGCACTTTGTCGCACATTTACATGCTCTTTGTCTAGTTATTCCACTAATACCACTAATCTCTTTAAGTTTATATTCACTTTTCAGGTGATCCCACGGTGTTTGGAAACCTGCCTACAGATGATGCTGTTCTTCAGGCCATGAAAGATGCCATAGACTCCCAAAAATACAACGGCTACGCTCCTTCTGTGGGTGAGTCACACTGGTGAACAAAACTCGTCAATCTAAATCAAAGGTGCTTCAATGAAAGAATCAAACAGATTGGGATGAAGTTTGTTGGTGGTGTTTTGAGGCTGTTGTATATTTCTTCTTACCATGTTTTTTTTTTATGTGCACCTGCAGGTTACTTAAAGAGTCGACAAGTGGTGGCCAACTTTTACAGCTGCCCTGAAGCTCCACTGGAGGCAGAGGTGCCCTCTCCTTTACCATATTGTCTTTTGGACAGACTACAGTAATTTATGTAATGTGCTTGTCTTTGAATTAGATAACGTGTCATAGTAACTGTTAATCCTGCCAAAACAAATAAAAGCTTTGATGCTTTCAGATGTAACATGTCCTCACTCTATTCCAGGACGTGATTTTGACCAGCGGCTGCAGTCAGGCCATCGAACTGGCTATCAGTGTCTTGTGCAACCCTGGAGACAACATTCTGGTTCCCTGCCCAGGCTTCTCTTTATATAAAACTCTGGCTGTTTCCACAGGCATCGAGGTCAAATTATACAACTTATTGGTGAGTAGAAGGTCCGGCTCAGATTTTTGTATAAAAAATATTAATTTCTGTATATCGTCTGTTAACGAAAGTCATGCTGGGCAGAACAAAACTTCCTGCAGCGGTAAACCGTCTTAGAGAAGAGTACACCTGTATACTGAAACATTTTTAAATAACATGAATATGGTCAATATTTTTTGCTTATTTATGCTGTTTACACCTTTTTTATATTTGTCCAAGTTTTATTGTTGATTTGTTTTGATTTTTAATTTGATTGCTGGAAAAGATTCAACATTTTTATTACTTATATGTTTTCTTTATTTGACTTATTAGAAATTTTCTTTTTTTTTCAGGGTTAGCATAAAAGGTTTAAACAAGCAGTTTTCAGATATTGAAGAAGGGCTCAAAATGAAACAAAACTTTTGTTCAGGCAATGAATAAATGTTGACTTGGCTAAGATTAAAATTTTGGCATCTTTTGATGTTAAGTAATTTTTATAAAAAACTGCGAAAAGTTCAAGGATTGGGTCCCACGTGAGAGCAGAAAAGTAAGTTTGTATAGAAAATATTAACTAATGGTCAGTATGTATTTAAAGCTCAAACGTAAAAATAATTTTGTAATCTTGTGGCACACCTAAAAATAAATTTAACTGTAAAATTTCAGATTTGAGAAGTGGAGCTGGGTCATACTGGGTTATTTTTGCAGATATAAATATCTTGGATGCTAATCAAATTGAAACCATTTGTCCACTTAACCAATCACTGACTTGGTTAAAGTTGGGAGCAGAAAGCAAAAAACAAATTTCATCTTTAATTTGTTGGAGCAGAAGAAACAAGTTCTTAAAACATTCAAAATATTCCAGTGCTGCTTTTTTTCCCACATCCTGGTCCTTTTTTTTTGCAGCCGGAGAAGTCGTGGGAGATCGACCTGCAGCACATGGAGAGCCTCATCGATGAGAGGACATCCTGTCTGATTATCACTAACCCGTCCAACCCGTGCGGGTCCGTCTTCAGCCGGGAACACCTGCAGAAGATCCTCAAAGGTTGGCTGCACGTCTGACCCACTCTGCTTCACCGCTTTAAATTCTGCAAAAACTTGATCATACGTCTATCAGATAAAAACATTTGTTAAAGTTTGTTTTCTCCCCCAGTGGCTTCCAAACACTGTGTTCCCATCCTGGCAGATGAAATCTACAGTGACATGGTGAGTCCAACTGCATGAGAAGACACGTTGGCAGGTTGACTCTGAGTAACACCAGCGAGGCACATTTTTCTCCATGATGAGAGGAGAGGTTGTGTTTTTATTGGGTGGTATTTGGCTCTGGATGGTGGGTTCCCAACCTGAGAATCACAGGACCATGAGTTTGATGAGCCGGAACCAGAGAGGTCAGCGAGGGCAAGATGTGAGTCATGATAGTGGAAAAGAAAACCGATCTAAAGTAACAAATTGGTTTGATTTTAATACCAAACACTGTAAACAGTCCCAAGCAGATATGACTGACATCCATCTTCCTGGTTGAGTTACCAGCTTGTGGTGGTGGCAGAACTGTAATTGCCTTTTAAAGGCTAAGTGCAAAGGTAGGCAAATTGAAAATTTGTCTTTCGTGGCATCAATGTGAACTTTGGAACATTTGCAATAGCTGAAGGCCACACAAACACCATCAAAGATGAACAAACACACATTCACAACCTGACGAGGGCAGTTAAGGACACTGAAGCAATGCAGAGGTTTGCATTGACAAAATCTCATCAAACTCCAGTTTGCATGTTTGAGCTGACACACATCTGCATCAAACTTTATGCATTTTAAAGCTCTTTGTTAGTACGGCTGGTTGAGCAGCATTGGACTGCTGAATCGTACATCTGAACGTTTTCTGCACAGATGCATGATTTCTCTGAGCATGTGAGTTTTCCTCTAGTGCTCCTGTTTCCTCTCATAGACCAAAAACATGCATGTTGGATTAATTTGCTTCTCTAAATTGTCCCTGTATGAGCGTTTGAGTGTGAATAGTGGTGATTTGTCCAGGGTGTACACCACCTCTGGAAACAGGTGACCGCTGCTCCCAGTGACCCTGAACAGAAACAACATCCCTGATTTTTCTTCTGATCGCGTGAAACTAAAAAGATTTACTCTTGTAGCTGGAGACACTAGTAAAAAGTCACAGTTTCACCTGATTTATTCATTGATTTTTACTGAGTGACTTATTTGTTAAAACTGTCTGATACAAAATAATGGAAATACAGTTGTTGACCTGCATTCATCATCATTCATCACCAGGTGCACATTTTTTTTAACTTTGCAGTGGCAGGACTTTTCATTTTTATTATTGTTTTTAGTTCGTTTTTACAAACGTAACACTTCCTTTTTTTATCAGCCTATAGCAAAAACATACTTTGTCCAGAATTCTATATTAAAATCTGCATAAAATGCCAAAGATAACTAAGTTGGATGCACATGAGACTGTATTTTAGCACCAACCAGCGTTGTTACCTGATGATACAGTAGGTGCATCTCTCAGGTCCTGTGTCAGGTCTGATTCAAAGAAGCCGTGACTCTCTGGAATCAAACTGTGAAGAACTGCGAGGCGGATCAGTAGTCATGTGTTCTTGTTAGACATGAGCTGTAAGAAATAGCAGAGTTTGTGTTTCAGCTAAAACTTGAGTCTAACCAGCGACTGTGAATAATTACAGTTTGAAGGCCTGCTGCTTGGTCCTGAAAGAAGCTGATGTTTGTCAAACTACAATCAAGGTTACTGGGTGCATGCACCCCTTCTGGCCATCTCACCATTAAACAAGAACAGATCAGAATGACTGAGCACTTTTTCTTGTCTGCATGTGTTTGCAGTTAATGCAGAAACAGGGAGGAATGAGGGGCGTGTGGTGGGTGAAGAGGGGGGTTAATAGTTCCTTACTTTATGTCTCCAGTATTCGAAGGTCTGGGCTGCAGGTTTACCTTATTTGACTCTTCTACCAACTCTTCAGAATATTTTTATGTATATTTGCACTTTTCGTATCCTTGAGGAAGATTGTCCCCACAAATCAAAAGAAATGCTTTAAGTCACTCAACTATACAAATACATTTATTCTGTTGTTTGCTGTTACGTCACTCGTCTCAATCTGGCCAATAGGATGGGGGGGCAGTGTCTCACTCCACACCATCTTTACCGCACAGCTTTAATGAGAAACAGCTTTTTGGGCGCAGCATGCTGCGGTAACTGCATCTTCTCACGCTATATGCCTTTTGTTGCTGTTTTCTTCCTCTTCAGACAGAATGTTACGTAACGTCACAGACTTGAACTTACATTTATAAAGCAACTGTTCCAAGCTGCTCATAAATAAGTATTTTGCAGGAATATTTGAGCAAAAACAAGCAAGTTTAAATTAAAAACTGCTTTTTTAATTTTATTTTGAAGGTAAAATCTTTTGTGTTTTTGAACTCATACCCTGACTGAACTAAATTGTTGTAAAAATAGTAGCTAGTACATTAATAAATGAAAATTTAGATATTTTTAGCACAGTTTTGTGTTTTTTGTCATGTATTAAAATGTCTCAAATAGCAAATCTGCCTAATTATTGATTAATAAAATATGTAGTTTTTTTATATTGTTGCACAAATGAATGAATTCTCCTTTTGTTAAAGAATTTGGGCCTAAAGTTGAATTTGTCAATATTTTACAAAATATATAACTTGAACAGTGAACTTGCCATTCCAGAAATAGTACAACTCTGTTGGTTTTGAATTGTTTAACTCAGATTTTTTTGTTCTTGGAGACACACTTTTGGTATTTTGATCACACATTTGTTTGCAGCTGCTAATAAACTAACAAAATGAAAGAGATTTTAGGATAAATAAGCAAAAAAACAAACAAACAAAAAGTTTGTTCTGCTCTCTTTTGTCATTTTTCATGTGCTTTTTCGAAATCTATCCAGTTCTTACAATTCGGTTTTTTATGTTTTATGAATTTTGACATATATAACTCACAATTAATATTTTTGTTTGCCAAAATAAGTTTTGGTAACAGGCAGCATTATCTGCACATGTTGGATCATGTTGTCTTCATAGGAAGAGTCAAATCGGTCGAGATGTAGTGTTTTGGGTGACAATTCTTGCTGTGCAACATGAAACCAGCATAAATATTAGTTGAATTTTTTTCATGAAAAAATAAATACGACAACAAATCTTGTCTGCAAGACCACAAAGATCTGCTGTGACCTAAACCACATACATAAATGTAATATTACTGGAAAATAACACAGTATAACACCACAGAGTCAGTATACTTTGAACAAAAGAACAGAAAATAAAATCATGAAAAGGAGTGCCTGAGTAGAAAGACACAAGGCAGTAATGGTGCAAACATTTTGGTGAAGTAGGTTTTTGTTTTTCATCTTTCTATCATCTGGGTTGTGCTTCTTTCTCTTGTCCTCAGGTATTCCCAGGATGCAACAGTCCTTCCTTGGCATCCCTCAGCAGTGACGTCCCCGTCCTTTCCTGCGGTGGCCTGGCCAAACGCTGGCTGGTTCCTGGATGGAGGATGGGATGGATCCTCATCCATGACAGGAATGACATATTTGGATCTGAGGTAAACAACTCTTTTTTATTTATTTTTTTTTAATATGAAAAAAAAAAAAAAGTTTGAAGGATAATGTCTGTTCATTAATATCCAGATCCATTAAAAGCTGATTTCAATTTTTAATTTGTTTAAATTTAAGGGCTGTGTACAGTGAAGAAAGATGAGGTTTATAATAAATAAAGCTACTAAATATGGAAAACTACGCAAAGCATTCTGATAATTGTTGACTTGAACTGTTATTCTGCAGCATCTTTTAGGTTTAGGTGTTCAGGTTCACGGTAGTTCCTTTTAAAGTGCACATTTAGTGCAGAGCAGCATTTTTGTTTTCCAAAACTCTTCTGCAATTTTCTGTCCTTCACTTTTTTGCAATCAAAGTTATTTAAAAATTAAAAATACGAGTTCCAAAAACTGAAAGCAATTTAAAAGTCTCAGTTTGGTCCTAATTATACAAGTTGATGGTGAATAGAGGTATTTCAGAGATTCTGCATTTATTCTTCTATGCAGGAAAATAAAATAAAGCAGCTGATGTCCTGCTTAGAGGAACCAGAAACATGACATTAATTTGCAACATTTGGGTTTGACACATTTAACAGCCAAAAAAAAAATTACATCTACAAGTAAAACTGGTAAAATAATGTCAATATTCTACTTTTAAATGCTTGCTTGCAGACATGAAATTTTTATTTATATATATTTATATTTCAAGATGTGGTTTCATGTGTGGTTAATGTTGCAGTAAGTTGTTGCACCTTTAGTTTACTGTCATGTTGGCGTTTCAGATCCGACAAGGTTTGGTGAAACTGAGTCAGCGTATTCTGGGAGCCTGCACCGTCGTCCAGGGAGCGCTGGAGAGCATCCTGAATAATACGCCTCAGAGCTTTTACAGCAACACCATCAGCTTCCTGAAGGTACTGGAGGGAAATCTTTACAGAATTTATTAATTTTTTTATTATTCCCGATGACGTTTTTCAGTTCTCCCTGCGCCTACATGACTTTATTTAACTAAATGCTCCAGTTTATAGTAGAAAACCAAAAATGACCAACTAGATATTGGCGGCACAACTGTGAGAAGTGAGCGACAGCTGAAACAGAAGGAAACAGCTGTAGAAAACGAATGTTTAAGTAAAACTACTGTTCATCAGCTCACACTGCGTCACTGAGACAGTTATCTTAATTTGACAGGAAACATTTTCAAGATAATGTGTTTTAAATTGAGGAACAGCCTGACCAGACCACTTGTGTCAGAAATCATGTAAAACAGGCAACTATTCCTCAACAAATAAAGTTCTGGTCATTTTGTGTGTGTGTCAATGACGAGTATTTTATTATTAAAGATGGACTAAATTAGTGTTTGTTCAGTGATCCAGGCATAATTAGAGGTTTGCTGCAGCTGCTCCTCTCCGTTTATCTCTTCTTGAATCTTTATGTAGTGCTTGTTCGCTCAGAAAGCTCATTCCATTGGTCAAAAGTACAACATTTAAAATTGTGCCCAACAAAAGAGACGAAAAGTGCAAGGTAAATACAAAACTAGCACAACAAGAAAACAGTAGCTAAAATAAGCTGAACAGTACATTTAAATGCCTAAAAAATGAATGCTGACTACATTTAAACAAGCAGAAGGGAAGCTAAATGTTACAATGAGCAGAAAAGTATCTAAAAGCTAAAATTACCCAGATAAAAGCTAACATCAGCTTAAGAAAACAAAAACAGAGCCATATGACAGATTTCAAAGAGAACAATGATTTCAAGAAGTCAACAATATTTCTACTGGTAAAATATTTATATGCTATGTGAAATATTTTAAAATGGGATGTATGATATTTCACATTACATATAAATATTTTACCTCTAGAAATATTGTTAATTCCTTAAAATCTTTGAAATCTGTCAGCTATGACTGTTTTTGTTTTCTTAAACATATTTTAGCTTCTAGCTGGTTATTTTTAGCTTTTATGTACTTTTTTGCTCATTGTAACATTTAGCTTCCCTTTTTCTTGTTTAAACGTGTAGCCAGCATTTATTTTTTATGCATTTAAATACTGTTCAGCTTATTTTAACTGTTTTCTTGTGCTATTTGTGCCTTTTAGTTACCCCTCATAGATTTTTTTTAATATAAAATTGTTCAGCTGATTTTAGCTTTTAGGTGCAATTATACAATTTTTAGCTTTTAGCTTTGATATATAATTTTAGCTACTGTTTTGCTCTTTTAGCTACAGTTTGCAGTTTTTACCCTTCAGGTTCTGTTTAGCTATTTTCAGCTTTTCACTACTATTCTGCTTGTTTTAGCTTTTAGATATTTTTCTGCTGTTTCAAACTCTCAGTTTTTCTTTGTGTTTTAGGTTTTAGTTATACTGGTCTGCTCATTTTAGCCACTGTTTTGCTAATTTAGCTGCAGTTTAGTTTTTCTTAGCTTAACTACTGTTCTGCATATTTTAGCTTTTAGTTAATTGTAACTTTTAGCTTCCCTTTTGCTTGTTTAAACTTGTAGGCAGCGTTACTTTTTTTTTTTTTTAGGTTTTTAAATGTACTGTTCAACTTATTTTAGCTACTGTTTTCTTGTTGTGCTCTCCATGCCTTTTAATTACCCCTTATGGGCAAATGCTTTTTTAAATAGAATTGTGCTGCTGATTTTAGTTTTTTGTTGCTTTAGCAACAAAAAAAAAACCCCAAAAAAACTGTTAGATTTGTCTTTTTGTTCTGCTTGCTTAAAATTTAACAACCCATTTAACAATTTATTCTTGAGCTAATTTCAGCAGAGCCATTTTCACTTTCGCGGGGCATTTGTTGTAGGAAATGTGACTTCTACTTTGTTTATCATTCTGACAATCACATAAAACTGGACTTTTCTTTTTAATCCTCAGTCAAACTCAGAGATTTGTTTCAACAAGCTGTCCACTGTCCCTGGCTTAAACCCCGTGATGCCTTCAGGAGCCATGTACCTCATGGTCAGTACCAAACAACTGTGAGGTTTGGGTTTAAAGTGAGGGACAAAAGTTTAATAATATGACAAGATTTAAGTTGAAAACTGATTTTACTCAGAATTTACTTGTTTTGTGTTTGAAAATGTAGCTCTGAAGGTGAAACTTGATCTTTCATGGATGTCGTAAAAAATAGTTTCACTGAACTTTATGTTTATGAGAGATACCATTGACACTCTACAGTAGGTTTTATCTCATTATTAACATTTCAAACCGGAATTTGTCTGCACATTAATACAGGTAGGGATTGAAATGAGCCACTTTCCGGACTTTAAAAACGATGTGGACTTCACTGAACGGCTGGTGACCGAACAGTCGGTCTTCTGCCTGCCTGCTACAGTAAGTTCAATTCATCTTTAACCCATCATTACTATGCCTCCAAAGTAAAACTGAGAAAATAAAAACATCTGGTTTGTCGACCAACAGGCGTTTGAGTACCCCAACTTCTTCCGCATCGTGGTGACGGTTCCGGAGGACATGATGGTGGAGGCCTGCGCTCGGATCAGGGAGTTCTGCCAGTGTTACTACCGGCCTCTCGGCTGCGACAGCCACAATCTGGACCAGTGATGCAGCCGAGCCGAAGCAGTGAGACGAGCAGCATCCACTCACAAATATCACCCTTGAAATCTCACCACGTTATGAACGAAACATTTAGAAATCTGACGTCGTGATTATCGTCATCGCCATGACAACCAAAGCTTCCTATCAGTGTTCCTTTTTGACGATGAAACAAGAAGACCTAATATTTATATATTTTTTACAGACAACCTATATCCCTTTCTTCGTCTTTTGTACATTTATATAATTTTTGTGACTTTTGTGACTCTCAGGATGTTTCTTTACAAAATAAACCTGATTATTTTCTGGTCACTCTTCAGAGGAATGTGGATCCATCATCTTTTGCTTGTTTTCAACTGCATGTTCAAGCTCTTTATCTGAAGCTTCTTTGTATATTGTTCATGTGTTATTACAGTATTTTGCGTGTATCTTACATTATATTTCCTGTTTGTGTTTTGTACAGTTATTTTGGTTTTAATTGTCTAAAAAAAATAACTCTACTGGTGTTAACCAATCTTTACACCATTTTACAACTCAAGCTTTCTCACCTAAATGCAGTATTTTAGATTCATGATCTTCTGGTTATGAATATTTTCCTGTTTCACACAGTGTGGCTCACACACATGTTCAAATACACAAGTTCAAGAGAACTTTAAGCCTAATGAGGCTGTTCTTGTTTAATCTGAGGAACTCTATTGAGTTTGTTATAAACATAACAGCTGAACACAGAGATTTTTTTAAGGTAACCTTATTTAATTTAAAGGTTTGTGATGTTTGAGGAGAGAGTCTTGTCTCTTAGTCAGGCTGTTTCACACATATTAATAAATAAGTTCATAAATTCATGCATTCCCTTTAAGTTTAAACATAAGCATCAAACCTGAAAGCGTGTGCACAGTTGTGTCTGTACTCCTGTTGAGCTTCCTGAGGAAACTCTGTCCTGCCAATAAAAAGACCAGATTTTGTCCAGAAACAAGGAAAATGTAAATAAGTTTTGAGAAGTTGTGCCAATACTATTTTTATACGAATAAAAATAAACAAAACAGCATAAATGTTTAGTTTAATATGCATGAGTGAAGGTTTTGTTTGGTAACGTTGTACTTAAAAAAAATAAAGATTTTTGTTGCAATAGAGTGTTTGGAAGTGAGTGTTATTAAAGCATACTTGTAAATAGCTGACTTTCAATCAAAAATATAAACTTTTTTTTTCAATTAAGTCAACAAAAGCAAAATAAATATGTGACAGAGTGAAATGAGGACAGAGAATGAGGGGAGAAATAAACCGATGTGAATTTACTAACAGAGACGAGAAGTGAAACAAAAAAATCTGCTGATTAACACACACACACACGCACACACACACACACACACACACACATAAAAATATATATTAAAACAAAGCGTCACTTGAGAGTTGAATTTTACTCAGTTTCTGATAATATTTGATCCCACTCAAAATTAGTGTAAAATTTACTCTATGGCGAGAGGAAACGCACGTTAACACAAAATTATTATTTTATACACAGAGTGCATGCACATTTAAAAGTGAACACATTTGTTTAGAGTTTGTACTTTTTGTGAGTTGAAAAGCAATACAGATTCTCAGGATGCTCGGGTAGAAGGGGAAGTTAATTGGATCTTTGTGAAAACGATGATGACGGAGCTTAAGATCACAGAAATGTCCAACAGGTTCCAGCTAAACACACACACACGCACACGTGTTGTGAATTACTAAGGAAATGCATCACAATTTTAAAAAGTCTCTCATTTTGGCACCTTGCCCATCCTTGCAGACTCTTTCAGGGCCAAAGGCGATGATCTTCATCACAACTCAGTGAAGAGGATGATGGTGAAGATGATGAAGGTGTAGGTCAACATACCAACCACACAAATGCAAACAGAGCTGTCATAGGATTGAAGTTTCTAGAAAATTCAAAGCTGGAGCTATCGAAGGTGAGTGTGTTTGTGTGTTACCATGGGCTGGTTGTAATGCTCGACACCCATTAGGACTACGTTAATGAAGATGATGGTGTTCGTGGTGATTTCCAGGAATCTGCTTTTACACCAAAAAAAGCATTATTCGAAGAGTGCTGTGGCTGAAGTTTAAAGTGTCTCCCCACTGCTGAACCCAAAATGAAACATCTTCTTTTGAATGTGTTTCTTGCACAAAGATAATGTGCACTTTTTCCCCTTTACAAAACAAGTAAATACTGGTACTTTTCCTTTTTGTGATGTTTCTTAATTAGTCCACTTGCATTAATGAATAAAAGAGAGATTTCACTTAGTGTAAACATAACAAAGAAAATAAAAATAGAAAGAATAAATAAAATTGCTCAGTAATACTTCCAAATGAGTCACCAAAATAAAGTTTATAGGAACAAACCCCATGGAACATAAAATCAGAAACTTGTTAAACATGGAACCATCTAATTTATGGATTCAAACTGTCTATTAATGCACATGTGTCAAACACAAGACCTGGGGCCCAAATGTGGCCCTCGTTGACATCTTATCTGGCCCCAAGATGGTATTGTAAATGTAAAATACTTTTATCAATTTAATTTTTTTCAGTAATATTTGATTATGATGTCAAAAGTGCAACAGAGAGCGTCAAATGAGACCAATCAATGTCTTGTTGAGGAACCTGCAACCAAGAAAAGATGTTGGGTATCTAAATTCAGTTAATGTAGATTCTGAAACTGGCCCTTAATTTGACAAAGGGTTTCATTTTGGCCCCTTTTGTAAATGAGTTTGACACCCCTGCTTGCTCACGTAGGGACCCCTGAACATGGTCTTCAGACCCCTATTTTTCTTGCCTGCTCCACTTGGGCCAAACAGCCAAAGCGAAGGTTAAGATCCTTGCAGATAGGATGGCGTTTTATTGCTCTCCACAGTTCATCCCTGTAGATCCTGGCCGTAAACTGTATGATAATTTGTCGAGGGGGGTTGATGGTCTTCCCCAAATGGTGCACAGAATCTACAATCCAAATCTTCTCCTTCCAGTGTGGAACAATCTTCAGCAGGAGGTCAACAATTAGCTCACGAGTGGTTTTATCTTGAGACCATTCAGCTCCATCTTCTTTTGTTAAAAGAAATACTTCTGAATATGTTAGATTTAGGAAAATGTACTGGAAATAATTACTTCCAGCCTTAATTATAAAGGTGTGCTAAATTATATCCTGTAAGCTGATTTAATACAACAAATACATTATATAAATTTTGATACTAATAAAATGTATTTATGAAACATGACATGTTTATTAATACTAATTTTAATATATCTTTCCACACATTGATTAATTTTCCTAGAGATTTTTATAATTCTGTTTATGAATAAAAACTGCCTTCATTTACTTTCAAAATTAAAATTCATTAGAAAAATGTGTACAGTATTGGTTGATTGATTGGACTGTAACGTATTTACGCTGTCAATGCGCCCTCTGGTGGACCCATTACTGACAACAGAAGACCTTTATTTTAATAATAGTCATTTTTTATGAGATTTACTGTTGAAACCTATACTCCTGGCATACTTTGTACCCACATTTCCTGCAAAAGTTTTATTTTTTCAGGAAAAATTGCATTAAAGTCGAAAGAATGAAAATCTATCAATTTTGTGATCTGCAACGTCTAAAACAATTCCTTTAAAATTGAATGGTTAACCAACTTATTAAAAGGAAACAATGCACTTTGAAACATTAAGCGCATGCGCAAATGAGCTGAAGGTCTTTCAGCGCATGCGCAAATGAGCTAAGGAACGGTTCTTGCTTCCGGGGAACAGATCGTGTAGTGACAGAGCTTTAGACTTTGCAAATAACTAAATGGATGGATTTTCAGTCTTTGGTCACCTGCAATATTTCCTAGAAAAGAAAACTTTTGCACGAGATGTGGATATTTGTTCCAGGAAAAAAATCAAACGTATGTCTCCAAAATTCCTTGTGAAAGGTAAAAGCCATGTAAAGACAGTTTAATTTTGATTTACTTGCTCGCAATATA